TGAATGTTATATTAAAGATAAGTATTTTACTAGTACTAATCGTGCACTTACAGTACAGGTAAATTACATTAGGGTTACAAACATGTATTTTATTTTAGTTTGCAACCATCCGCAATTGTTTATAATCCCATAGCAAAGAATCGTATAAATGTCTGTGTTTCTGGACTTCACCAACTAACCATTATTTGAATCTGCTAGTTGTGTTTGTTTTCAGTCTGATCAGAGAGGGTAGAAAAGGTGTTTATATACAGTGTTTGGTCTGATCTCCTTTCTGATTTTCTTCTGTTCCACTGGCCAATAAATCAGGCGTGTTTGCATCACAGAACCCATGTCCATGTTTGTTTTCGATTTGGCCCTCAAACACTGTCTCTGTCATGAAAACTGCATCACAACAACCGTAATATGGCGCATCTGCGTCCATGGTAATCATGAACCAGCCTTATGATCCAAGAATCTCATGGACCTCACACTGAGAAAGCATTCAGATTCAGCTATTGATTATCGCCCCAAATGTCGTCTCAGATGTCAGCACCAGCGTTACCCCTTCCAGCCACACCATTGTCTGACAGTGAGCAGTGGAGACCTGCAGAGGGCGCTCCCACTGGCCGCTCATCTGAGAGCTTCACCCATCCCAGCTGCTCAGGTCAGGCTGTGTAGCTGCAGTGCACATGGTACATTATACAGGGGGACACAGGAACAAGGCAGTGGGGGCTTAAGGAACTGGTGTACTGGGCACAAAGCTGCGGGCTGGGGTCCCCACAACTGTCTTAGTGTTGTAGTTCAGCACTGAGTATTTAAGTGTGACTGTTTCTTTAAATATCCCAGCTTATTAAAACTATAAGCTGTATTAATCACTTTGATGGAAGCATATTATGACTAATGAATAAATCATGTAAGTAAGTAAAAATAAAAAGTTGTTAAAAATGCAATGGTAACCTGCTTGGGATGAGGGTATGTAAAATAATGTATAAATGATTAAGACCTACATAAATGCATAAATGTCCATGGTACGGTTCTGTGAAGCACCCATATATAATAGAGCACATTAAATGCACTTTGGAAGCTCTCAGTACCATTAATACTTTAACAGGTCAGAACCTGTCCAATGATACCATGCTGATGGACTATGAAGACCATGTGTCCACATCTCCGGAAAGGTACTGTGCACAGCTGTATTCATCTGACTGCCAGATTTGTCTTATTGTCTTACTTATTTTGTGTCCTTTGCGTTCCTCCTGAAAGGGTGAAGCAGATGTCTCCACACGCTATGGGGGTCTCATCCATTGACACGAAGGACATGGAATTGGCAGCACCTTCTGTCCCTTCTATGATTTCTACCACCATCCAAGTGACCATCAAGCAAGAAGAGACACAAGACGAATCATGGGTGGAGGAAGCGTGGGAAGATAAGGTGGTGGCGAAAGTGTTGGAGGAAAATGGACATGAAAGCCCAATGCTGGACATGCAGCAGCAGCCTGATGGGCTACTGGACACATACAAGGAGCAGGTGAACCAGCTCCAGCAGGAACTAGAGGAGATGAAACGCAAGTGTGAGCACATGCAGGTGATGGAGATAGAGCGCGAGATTCTCCAGAGAAGGGTAAGTGTGTATGACTCTGTAGGACATGGGTGTCATCCATTTCAAATGATGCCATTTCCAGGGAATTTAAACATACTTCCTGTTTTCAGCATATAACCAAGAGCCAGTTTAATGTAGAGACTATTTTCTTCTACCAAACTCCACACACCAAGTGTATCACTGCTCAGAAGATACAAGATGAGGAACCCTGATGATATCTTCTGCGCGGTGATACAGTTGGTGTGTGGTGTCTGGAAGAAGAAAATCGTTCCTGAATTAAACTACTCAACACAAAGTCTGTGGATTATCTTGAGTAAATGGGTCATGATTTCTAATAGATGTTGCTGTTGAATTTTTCAGATGTATTTTTTTGGAGATTTGAATGCCATTCAGCCCCATTATATTTGAGACATTTCTATGCCTGATATCTCCAAAACTAGGCAACTCCCAGCAGAACAACCTTGATGGATAGATAGCACTAAAGCTCCTCTAAAATGGAGCTTTTTACTTTTGGGATAAACTGCCCCTTTAAGTTTGGAGAACAACAGACGAATTGCACATGACTCCTACAAGTCTGCACCACTCGTACATGCAACTTACGAACGAATCTGCTCGTACGAGTAGTTCTTGCATGAGGCCCATGATCGTTATCACAAGGAAATAACCTGTTCATTGCATTCATCTAATTCATTCAGCTGGACAGAGTTGGCCCTTAATTTACCCCCAGCAAAGGCACACAAATACACACAAACATGCTTAAATGCACCCTCACTCACTCTGTTCTCTATACAGCTGGAGGACATGGAGATTGAGAACAGCAGCCTGTCCTGTCAGTGTGAACAGCTGAACGTCTCACAAGAAGAAACCTGCAGGTAGAAACATAATCAGATGGACATCTTTTTTACTAGTAATGTAAAAGCCCCATGTTTTACGTGCAGTACACTCACATAGATTATATATATTGTATTGCCATTGGCTGAACTGACTATAATGGTTTCATTTTACACTGTGAATTTCAGTAGCTTCTTTAGAAAATGAGTTTGCTTTGCTTGTTTTGTACCCCTGACTGTACATAACTGTTATCATCACCCTGCAATCCCCAGAAAGCTGAGGAACCTCCGGCAACGCATCGGCCGTCTCCTGGTCACCTTTGTCCCTACGTTAGACTTGGAAGGGATTAACTTGGACAGTGAACTCATGGATGAGATGCTGGACCAGGTCTTGAATGAGAACAGTGAGCTCTGACTTGGTCTCCATGCTGGGTGGCCAATACAGGTCAATTCTGACTTCATCATGTCAATGTTTTGTAATGAAAATAAAATAAACTCTAATATTTGCTGTATACTAGCGATATGGCAAAATATTTTATCACCATACCTCACTGCTCGATCCAGGGTACATGATGGTAGAGCTGCCACCTGTTCCCTACAGAAAAATAAAATACTGTATCTCATTTTGAATCAATTTGTATGCAGTAACTCTGTGTGTTCCACTAGATGGCAGTGCTTCACATGATGAAACAGATTTACGGTATTTTCTGTTTCAGTTGACTCAAGTTTTTGTCGGAGTTTACAGTACACAGTAGAAGTTTGTTGTGTGTCGGACGTTAAATTGCCAAAGTATAACCACACCACCAACATCTTTTTACCTTGTTTATCCACAATATCTCCTGGGGGCTGGGCTGTCACTTTCTACACTAACACTTGAAGTTCCCTCTGAGGGAGCGCTCATATCTTCCATTGCTCACTTGTATCACCAGAACAGTAGCATGTGCTGTGCTCGGCTAAGCCAGTCAACTTTGCTGTGAATTGGTTGGGCGTTGGCCGTCCATTCCTAAAAAACTACCATATGATTGGCTGGAAGTGTGTTTGTTCCTATGAATGGATGTGTGCTATCAAGCAATGTTCCTTATTAACAGTTTGTCGAGGTTTCTCATTTTCTTACCGTTTAAATTTTGTACGACAAGTGAATATCATTTATACTGCTCAGCGCTGTTAAATTCTTATTTCACAGAGGAAAACATTTTAAATATCATCTTATACGTGCTCCTTCCTGGAAGAACCAGACTTTTGGTTTCTAGTTTATTTTGATCTACTAAATAGCAGCCACCATATAAAACTTTACTTGAGGAGGGACAAGTAGCTTAGTAACTGAGTTACTACTCAAGTACTAACCATAAACAATTATAGTATCTGCATGAAATACACGATTGATCAGTTATGACTGATAAAAGATGAACAAACATGGATCAGTACGTAACTCACTTTAGTTTCTAAACAATTGTACTACAGTGTACTACTACATTTTTTGTGCCCCCTCAATTAAAGTGTTAGCGTTGATTTATATTTACTATTATTTGTTTGCTAGAATTTTTTCTCCAAAGTGATGTATAGGTCAGTAAATCAGTGTAAAACTAGATGCTCTCAGAACATCAACAATGTATTCAACATTGTCTTCAGTGTAATCAGATTCAACAGATCAGCACCTGTGACTCTCCATTCATGTGACCACTAAGTGTTTCCATTTTGTTGCCATTTGTCTCAAAATGAGGTCGGTTCCAGACTTTCTCCTATATAAAGTTCCTGTGAAGTTTGAAAAAGATCTGAAAGAGGGACCAATTCAACACTACAGGTTTTGGTATCATTTGCCAACCCAGAGGTCATTAAAGGAGTTGTCCTGGAATGCATGTAGATGCCACACAAAAGAGGTTGTCTACCGACTGCAAAACGGCCGAGGTTAGGTACCACAAAATTCTGTTTCGGAACTCAATGTCCACTGTTATAGAGGAGCCAAATATGAGGGATGGTGGAACCTGGGCTGTCTGGAAGACTGAGGTAAGAAACCCATCAATAGTTGATGCGATGCACATCAAAAGCTGAATCTTAATAAATAAACACTTAAGTTTGTTCAAGTTGATCAAGCCCCTGCAATTGCACATAATGCTGAAATATCACAGGGCATAATATTTATGGGGGGGCAATGTGTGGTTCAGCAGGTTAAAATGGAGTGCCTGTCCCCAGAAAGTTATCGATTGGAGTGATCTCAGAGTTGGGCCCTGGAACAAGGGCCTTAACCCCAGTTGTTCCAAGGATCGTCTGATCCCATGTTCGCAAAATGTAGGTTACTTTGAATAAAAATGTCTGCTAGATAAAATGTAAATATACAACATAAAAACCAACAGTGAAAAAGTAAAGAAACATACTTGTTACACAACTCCATTTCAAACTGGTGGCAAGTATAGACACAAAGGCTAGCCCATTATCCTTTTGATGGTACACTAGGTTGCATTACAAAATTGTATTTTAAGTATTTGTAAAATGACACAGAAGCACTGGGGTTCCATGTTTATTACGAGTAAAATTAGCATGAAACTGCCCCGACCCAACAGACCGCAGCAGCACGACAGCCTCAATTCGCAGCGGATTCGGTCTTCCCGGCCGCATGGCTCCGCCCCCCGCGTCCGACAAAATGGCGGCGCAAACAGACAGAGGGATACCTCTCAGTGCGGTAAGTCCGTTTATACTGCTTTCCTCACCGAGCCCATGTAAATAACGATACACATCTGTTCCTAAAATGGTGATTTCACTGTCATGTGAGGGTGAGCTCACGGGGACGATTGTTCTGATCCTATGCCAACGGCTTGTTTCGATACTACGGCTAGCTAGTTGTGTACGGGGTGGTAGAGCGGTCGTCGGAACCCGTTTGTAACGGCATCCCAGCCGCTCGGCGGATAAAAAAAAAGATAGATAAGCGGCAGTTGGGTTTCGTTTATATTCTTCAGGCGCCCTCTCTGATTCAGGACCGAGTCCAGCGGGGAGCTCTCGAGGTGCCTCCCGCCGCCTCGCGCCGCGCTGTTGTTGTGACGTGACGAACTCGGAGTGTCAGCGCGTGCCCGTCCAATGACTCGCGCGGGCCATTGTGCTGCGCGAGAGCTCTGCCCTCCCAGGTGTCACCGCTTAATGTCACCGTTCGCTGCTCGATTCGCTGTAAAAGGGGATGCATGAAATCGGACTGGGTAATGTGGGGGTTGGGGGGCGATATTAGTTGTGTTCTGGGGCACAATGGAGGAGATGGTGGGGGCATCCACAGAGGTGGGGGGAACAATGGAGGAGACAGTATCAACGGCGACGGGGGGGACAGGGGAGGAGACAGGATATGGTGGGGGGCATCCACAGAGCTGGTGGGCAGCACAGGAGACTGTGTTTCAATGGAGATGATTGGACAGTGGAAGAGCCTCGACCTTCCTGAATCATCTGTAGCATTATACTGAAAAATGTTAAAATATCTTGAGTTTCGCTTCTCACACATCTGCCGGCCAGTTAGGCCAGACTCTCATTCGCTGATTTGTGCAAGTTTCAGTGTGCAGAATTTTGGGTGAGATCTAGTCTGATGTCAGACTGGCCCAGTTATCTGAAGAAGAGAGGAGGAGCTGTCCCAGGGACCCCCTGGATACATTTGCCGAGTGGGGGGTCCCTCTCTGCAAACCAAAAAAAAAAACCCAGAAATTTGCTAGTGATGTTCATGTTCCCCTCGGCCCCCTGTGGCAAATCACCCCCCTCTGCCATGTGTCGGTTTATAAGAGTCAGAAATGTAAAATAGCGGTGAGACGTATCTGAACGTGCGGGTGATACCCGTTGTAACATTATGTGTGTGTGAGTATCTGTGAGGGAGGGTGGCTTGGATCTGTGCAGAAATGACCACACATCAGGTTAAATTAATCATTACCATTGGCTGTCTCTGACGCATGTAACAGTACTGTGGTTCAGTCTCCAGTGTGTGACTCAGTAGGTTAAACCTCTCTGCCTTTGTGGCTCTGATCAGAAGGTCGCTGATTTGAGTCCTGGCCTCAGCAGAATAGTCACATCTTGTTTTAAGCCCTTGCTTCAGTGGCCTGACTGTGTGTGTGTGTGTCAGAAGAGCAAGATGGCATATGTGAAAAGTAGCATCCCAGCGTACTTGTGCAAATGGTGAACACTGGATCATTTTATACATTTTTTTTTAAACTGGAGTGGTAAGGAATCACTTTGAAATGTCTATAATAATGTAAAATACCCCTGAATATGATAGCCATGCAATAGGACAATAAATGGCAGAAACTCTTGACGGTGATTATTTAGCTCAGCTGTTAGGAAAACAATGCAACTCCACCCTTGATGGTTCTTCTGATGTTGCAGCTCTGCCCGAAGTTTCTTCACACAAACTCCACCAGCCACACCTGGCCGTTCAGCGCCATTGCAGAGCTCATAGGTGAGTGCATCCCCCCCACCCCTCCCCCCCGGAGTGAATGGTACCATCCACATAGTATGCATAGTCCAATAACTGGAGCTTGAGCTGTACCACTCCGGCCCTGTTTATGGGCTCTTCTCTGGCCTATTTAGAGCGGAATGTAGGCTGTGTGCGTGGCCTTGTCTCCCTTAATCTTTAGCCCTATGCTGTGCTTGTTACAGCTCTGTTTATTCCACATAGCATCAAATTGATCTAGTTTGGAGGAGAGCTGTATTTAAGGGTCAGGTTTTGTTTTGCCTGCTAACTCAGTAGAAATGTTGGAGGGGGAACTCTGTTAGTACTTCCCCATTTCAAATTAATTACGTATCTTTAAAATGTGGAAATGAAAGAAGTGGTTATCTGCGTGTTCTGGGGCAGCGGGGTGAATGAGAGAAGCATGAGATCGATGTTAGGTGATGGTGGCAGTGTCCCTCCTCCTTGTTGACCGTTCATAAGTCCCCCATCTGTACTTGGCCTTTGTATCACTACCTTCACCGGTAGATGCCACCAGATGCGCCTTGCACCCTGTCACTGTCACCTTAGTGATGGAGCGGCTGAAGGACACAGCACAGCCTCCTATATATAGACTGCAGTTAGCGTCTAGCGTTATGTCACCTTCTTGCGATGCTCTGTGCCATTGCCGTACAACCCGTGTGACTGGATCGAGATGTCAAGTCACGGCTCCATCTGTGATCCCAGAGTACCCCCGGCGGGCCAATGCCCTCATTTAAATCACTCACGAAATGCCTGCCCCCCCAAGATGTGAGATCTGCCTGGGTACGTATCCTTCTAGAATCCAGGGCACAGAATTCAGGTGATGTGGTGGGTCCTTGACGATTCGCAACATGAAGACACTTGGTCACGCGCGACTCTGATTCTCTTTATGTTTACAGACAATGCCTACGACCCAGATGTTAACGCTAAGCAGTTCTGGATCGACAAAACGCGCATTAAGGGCCATGACTGCCTGACCTTCATGGACAACGGAGCAGGAATGACCTACGACAAAATGCACAAAATGCTGAGGTTGGAAAACCGCTGTTCCAAAAAACTCTTGGAGGAAGTAAAAACGTGCCTGATTTTGAGCAGAAGAATGTAACCTTGGCTGCAAATGGATTACTTAGTATTTATACTAGCTGTGGATTAATAACCCTTGGCTGTGGGTTTAATAACTTGTTAGCTTCTGCTTTGTAAAGCTTTTTCATTTCACTCTTTCTCTGTACCAGCTTCGGGTTCAGCGATAAGCAAGCCATCAACGGTCACATCCCAGTGGGCCTGTATGGAAACGGCTTCAAGTCCGGTTCTATGCGTCTGGGGAAGGACGCCATCGTCTTCTCCAAGACAAGGGACACTATGAGTGTCGGACTGCTGTCCCAGTGCTACCTGGAGAGCATCCAGGCCGAGCATGTGGTGGTCCCCATCGTCACCTTCAGGCTTATCGGTCATAATCAATATATCTTTTATTGACTGAGCGGGGCAAATTGGTTCCATTTGCTGGTGATTGAGAGCATTTCTTATAGCTTTTATTGGGTGAAGCTGAAGCAGTAAAGCAGTTGCATTTTATTGTTTTCACGAAGTTGCAGTTGTTACTTTATACTGTGTATAAACTGACGGCCAGTAATTGTTTTGTTTTGTTTTTTTTGCGAGGATAGTCTTTTATTTTCTGGCACCGTACTTCTATAAAAAAAAATAAAAAATGTAGCCCTTTGTCTGTCGCCGCCTCCTTGACTCCTGACCACTCAGAGCCACCGCCGAGCACATTGCCAGCCTGCAGGACATCCTCAGGTACTCGCTGTTCAAGTCCGAAACGGAGCTTTTGTCTGAGCTGCATGCCATCGACTCCGTTTGCTCCACTGGCACGCGCATCATCATCTGGAACCTGCGCAGGTAAGGCAGGCGGGGAGCTTGGCAACTCCCAACATTCTCCATCTCCGCGGCCCGCATGGTTTTTCAATATACGCCATATTCTCTCCTCAGGATGTCCAGCGGGCAGCCAGAGTTCGATTTCAACATCGACAGGTACGACATCCAGATCCCGGCTGACGTGTTCGAGAATACAAGTGAGAGGTACAAGCGGCCAGATCGGATCATGCAGTCTGTCCCTGAGAGTGACTACTCCCTCCGCGTGAGTGTTGGGAAGAGGGGTTTGCCAAGGGCACAAGCTATGACTTATTTTTTACTGCTTTTGCGCCTTGTCGCTTTGTTTATTGCTTGTCATCTTGTGTGATTGATTGCAGGCCTACTGCAGAATCTTGTACTTAAAGCCTCGCATGCAGATCATCATCAGAGGTCAGAAGGTGAAGACGCAGCTCATCTCCAAGAGCCTGGCATTCATCGCTAAAGACCACTACAGGCCCATCTTCCTTGTATCCTGAGTTTAGTCCCTTGCAGTCTGTTCCTCATTCATGCAGGTCTTGGCTGGTTGTTCAGTATCCCCTCTGGGTGGCTCGCCCAGTGTTTCTAATGACAACCTCTAGGAATCATCTGGGGGGGAAAAAATACCCATGAATCTCTCTGATTTTTTTCCTTAACCTTCAACCCAGAACAAACGTATCCGGATCACCTTCGGATACAACACGAAAAGCAAGGATCAGTACGGCATCATGATGTATCATAGAAACCGCCTAATCAAGGCCTACGAGAGGGTGGGCTGCCAGCTGAAGGTGAGGACTAATGGCGGGTTTCCTCAGTTCCCGACCTCTCTGGCCTCTCTCTGCTCACTCCTTTTTCTATCTCTGAACAGGCAAATAACCGGGGAGTTGGAGTGATTGGCGTGATTGAGTGTAATTTCCTTAAACCCACACACAACAAGCAAGACTTTGACTACACGGATGAGTACAGGTACTGATACAGACCTGGGCTACATCATGATTCTGTGTACAGACTTAGGGATAGTGACAGTTGGAGAACTCTTAAATATTCCTGAAAGAATATTGTAATTGTTATATACTACCATACAAAAGCAAAACACCGTAACTCCATGTTTTATCAAAATTGATGACTGTAATCAGGTCTTTTAGGTTCTGTTTAACCTAGTGACAAAATATCTTAGTTCAGCTATGCTCAGTTTTGAAGATAATACTGTAGTTGCCTGCCTTTCATACACATGGGTGACGGTCGAAAGCCCTTAAAGCCCTTTTTCCGTTTCATTGTCAGCGTAGTTACTGTTTTGTCTCCGTAGGACAGTGTAGTAGTTGAGCTTTGCAGGTAGCACAGTTGAAGATGTTGGTGTGGCATATCTGCCATTTTCATTTATTTTTACTCTTTCCAGGAAAACTATATATAACCTTGGAGTGAAACTGGAAGAGTACTGGAATGAAATCCGGTTCAAGCGTGACAAAGAAGATCCTACTTGCATGATACCAGTAGAAGATACCATGTGAGCTTTCGGGAAGACGCGGGCGTTTGGAGGGGAGTCAGGTACTGAGCAGATGAGACACTAACCCTGTATCCTGTGTCTCCAGGAAGCGTCCGGATCAGAACTGGGTGCAGTGTGACAACTGTCTGAAGTGGCGGAAGCTCCCAGATGGTATCGACTGCGCTCTGCTCCCTGAGAAGTGGTTCTGCCACATGAACCCTGACCCCCAGTACAGGTGATGGTTCACGTCGGTGTGTGCATGGACATGCATGTTCTTACACGCGCATGAGCAGTGAAGGATGTTCTTTTTCAGGAGCTGCCATATGGATGAGGAACCAGAAGACTCAGATGACGACCAGCCTTCCTACCAGAAGACCTACAAGCAGCAGTGAGATTCTCCCTCTGATGTGTCTTGACTGTCCATATGCTGGGAGTGAGATGCATTTTAAAGGGCTCTCTGTGTTTCCTAGGGAACGGTTCCAAAGGATGCAACAGGAGAAGAACAGATTACAGGTGAGCTGTGGAAATGGTGATAAGAACATAGAACATAAGAACTATACAAACAAGAGGAGGCCATTCGGCCCATGGAGCTCGCTTGGGGAGAACTTAACTAATAGCTCAGAGTTGTTAAAATCTTATCTAGCTCTGATTTAAAGGAACCCAAGGATTCAGCTTGCACTACGT